CATGAAAACATATCCACTGGGGGTGAAAATGCAAGTGAAGCAGAGAAACAGGCCCCTACTAGAAGAGGTGTGAGACTAGAGCTTGAAAATATATAAGAAACTTTTGGGGCTGGAGTGATGGCTCAGTGGTTAAGAACACTGGTTGTTCTTGCAGAAGACCTGGGTTCAAATCCCAGCACCCACATGACAGCTAACAACTATCCATAACTCCAGTTCCAGGGGATCCGACAGCCTCTTCTGTCTTCTATGGGCATTGCATGACATGGGTGCACTTACCTACACACAGGCAATATACACATACACATAAAATAAAAATTTTTTAAAAAAATAAAGTATATAAGGAACTTCTGTAACACAACACCAAAAAACCCAATAACCTAATTTTTAGAAATACTTTATTTTTATGTGTATGAGTGTATTTCCTGCCCTGCATGTGTGTATGTGCATGCATGTTATGCAGTGCCCATGGAGGTCAGAAGAGGGAGTCAGATATCCTGGAACTGGAGTTATGAATGGTTATTAGCTGCCATGTGGGTGCTAGACATCGAACCCAAGTCCTCTGCAAGAACAGCCAGTGCTCTTAGCAGCTGAGCCATCTCTCCAGCCCCAATAACCTAATTTAAAATTGTACTACAGACATGAATAGAGATTTCTCCAAAGACATACAAAAACAAACAGGTATATAAGACACTTGACATGCCCAACCATCAGAGAAATGCAAATGAGGCTGTCACCTCCTACTTGTCAGAATGGCTGCTGGGAAAAAAAAGCCAGTGAGCTGGCTTGGTGGGGAAGTCTGACAACTGAAGCTTGATCCTCAGGACCCAGGTAAAAGAAAAGATGCAGTCCCAGCACTTGTAAAGGGAGATGGGAGGGGACAAGAGAGTTGCCCAGAGGCTTGGAGGCCAGCTAGGCTGGGATATTCAGCATGGCAGAAATCGGAAAACCTGCCTCTAATAAGGTGGAAGGTGAGAACTGACTCCCAAGGGTTTTTCTCAGATCTCTGCATGTACACCATAGTCTGTGCGTGTGCACGCGCGCGCGCACACACACACACACACACACACACATAGAAAAAAGAAAAAAAATTAAAAAGCAAGTGCTGGTGAGGATATGGGGAAATTGTAAGTCTTGTATACTATTTACAGGAATGAAAAAAAGAGCAACTGCTTTGGAAAACAGAACTGAAATTCCTCAAAAATTTTCTGGTTCCCTGTTTAGAACTTGTAATGCCAACTACTCTTGCCTTTACTTCCCCTTCACATCCCCTGTTCACCAGTCAAGGACTTTCTTTTCTCCCTACAGATAAAGAGTTATGCAATTTGAGTCTTTTGGATAGACCCACTGAAGGGGAACCCCAGTTGCCTCACCCTGCATCCCTGTTCAGCATGGAAGAAGCCAGAGGGGTCTGTATCCCGATTCCTTATTGGCAATTTGGGTAACCTCTTCAGAGGATGGTCTAATAAGAACAGGAGGCAGGAATTGGCTAGGCAGTTAGGGTAAAAAGACTCCAAAGAAAAGTAGCCAGTTTCTTGGCTAAAAATCAAAATGTCCTTGGGCCTCTTAGCAACATACTCTGTTCCAAAGGCCAAAAATGTCAAAAGTATTTGGAGCTCTTATCTAATCCCTAAAAGATTTTAGGGTTACCTCTTCAGATGGGGGAATGTTAGAGTAGGCCAAGAAAGGGAGGGAGGGAGGGAGGGAGGCAAAGAGTATTCGAAGTCAGAAAAAAGTGATGGGGTGATATGGGAGGTGTTGGAGGGGAGTGGGTGTGGATTCGATCAAATCACTATGAAATTCTCAAAAGTTTTTTTAAAAGCTGAAAAAAAAATAAGAACATGATTTTTCAACCCAGAAAAAAAAAATTTAGATTGTGTGTGTGTGCGCGCGTGTATGTAGGTCAAAAAAAAAATTATCCAGCAATTCCAATCCTGGGTATTTTTCAAAAAGAACTGAAATCAGGATTTTGAGTTCTCTGCATTCCCTTGTTCACTGCTTCCCTGCCTACAAGAAACAAGATGTGGAAAACCCAAAATGTCCATTGTTGACAAACCAAAGAAAATGTGGTATATACATAAAATGGAATCCTACGCAGCCTTTAAAAGGGAAATCTGGTCTGGCGTGGTGGTACACACCTTTGGTCTCAACACTCTGGAGGCAGAGGCAGGCAGATCTCTGAGATCAAGGCAAGCCTGGCTTCCATAGTGCGTTCCAGGCCAGCTGGCGCTATAGAGAGACCTGCTCTCAGAGACAAAATAAAATAAAAGGGAAATTTTCCAGTGTGAAATGGGTAAGTCCTGAGGACATCATGCTAAATGAAATTAGTCACAGAAGGATATATATTGCATGACTCTACTTAAATGAGGTGTGCTTTAAACAGAGAGTAATCTGGTGGTTGTTGGGGTCAAAGGGCATGACTCGGTAGCCAACTGACATCAAAACTTAATTATTCAAGGTAGGAATTCCAGGGCTGGGGAGATGGCTCAGTGGGTAACACTTGCTGCACAAGCATGAGGACCTAAGTTCAGATCCTGAACCCATGTAGAAAGTCAGATATGGTCACACCTATTGCCTTTAACCCCAGGGGACAGAGACAGGAGAAATCGCTGGGGCTTCCTGGCTGTCAACCTAAGTCCAGGTTCAGTGAGAGACTCTAAGAGTAAGAGTAAGAGTGTTAACAGAGCAGGTCACCTGCCATCCTCTGGCCTCCACAGGCAGGTGCACGTCTACACACACACTACTCACATCCTTAAAAATTTCTTAATTATTCATGTTAACTATTCTTACCACAGTAGAAACATTAACGATCAACTACCCAGCTGTATCCCTTACATGCAATCCAGTCAGGGGTGGTGCTGAGACATGAACCTGGGTTTGATTCTCAAGCCCTTCCTACATTAATTCTTTTCAATGTATTCCTTTTGAACTGGAATGCCTCACTTACCTTCTTAGAAGGTTCCCTCCCCTCTCCCCCTCCAGTCTCCATTCGGAGCACTGCACCTGTCCACCCTGCACCCACATTCAGCTCACACCAGCTGTCAACAAGGACAAAAGTCAAATGTGCTCCACTGCTGAGCCCAACTCCATGAAAGCTCAGCAACAAGAGGTTGGCGTTCCATCAAATATATCCGCCCTCTGGTATGGATCCCAGGGCCTCACTAGTTTATGCCCCACAGAGCTCCACCATTGGGCTACACACACCTCCAGCCCCCAACCAGACTTCTAGAAAGGATTCACAACTGCAAGTGGACTTGCCATCCAAACTACCGCCTAACTCTAGGAGTCCCCAGGGTATGGGGAAGACAAATATGATTAAGCAATGTCCAAGGCCACAGCACACACACCTGTTCACCAGATGCTCCTCCAGAGGACCTAAGGTTTGTTCTTGACACCTGACCCAGAGCCTCAGTGAAGGATGGAGGTGATCAGAGGTCAATAGCCTCCCTGGGATCAGATCTTAGATGTGGACTGTATTGGCCTCAGGCTTAGAACGTCACTGGCCTCACCTGGTCCTCCTAGGGCTACAAATCCATTTTCAGAGGCTTTTCACCTGGGGCACTGATTGACAAGCCAGGTGGGAGACACACCTGGGAGGCTGAGGGGGCAGACTCACCTACAGCTGCCCATGACCATTTAGCCAAACCTGAATGCGAGCCCAGCCATTCCTGTACAAAAGAGGTCCATCCCTTGGGCCTGCTCCCACCCTGGGGATTCAAAGATGAGGCCAACTGTTTGAAAAATATAAAATTTTAATAAAGGCTACGTCTCTTAATTACAATAATTATTGTACCAAGTAATTTTCTTTAAATGAACTCTTTATAATGCATAATTTACAGTGTAAGTACAACAAAATGCCATGACAAAAGTCACCGAGTACAAGACTTGTAATAAAAAGGCATAAAATATATTTGTACATAAACCCCTTTCAAAAAACAAGGGAAAGCTTGAGCCCTGAATATAGGGCGATGCACGGAGCGGGTCTCCGTGCCGGTACAGGTACTGTACTGATTCCAGGTCCAGCACTAGCCAGTGGATTAACAATCTTTCACTCTTAGCTGTCCACTATATACAGACGTATAGTACAGGTAACGTGGCAAAAAGAATGCACAGACTAACTCCACACAAACTCGAGTGCCAAGGGGCAGGGATTGGAGGAGAGGGGCTACCCCTGTGTCCTTGAGGGGGTCTGGTGGGTAGGGTTGGACTCCTGGATGACTGTGGTCCAGAGACTAAGCAAGAAACAGGGAACTATCACTTAACTAAAAGCACAAGCTTGAACCACAAGGCCGTGATGTCAGCAGGCTCAGCCACCAGGTTTCAGGACCTAGGGGGAAGCTACATAGATGGTAAAGCCTTTGGCCCAGATGGGAGGCTCCCCACTTCTCCACACTGGACTACCCCCGCACCCAACATGCCGTTCCCAAAGTGGTGAGGGTGGTGTTCCAAACCCTTGAGACTGACAATAGTGAAACATGGGACAGGGGATGTGGGGGATGCACCGATTTCTGTATGTATCAATGGGTGGGCACCATTTTTAAGAAGCCTGTCTTCACTTGGAGAAACACCAGAGTGTATCCCTCTGTTAATGAAGAAATCGTTAACACACTTTCAGCTCCGCGCCAAGTGTAGACAGAACAATTCAAACTTCCCCTCTCCCCCTTCCATGTTTCGAGCAGCATCAACTGGGGGGGGGGGGATAGGGGACTCAACTGTTCAATAAATATCAGTAAGGACTCCTGTTCAGGTAAGTTATACACAGTTTCTCTTAGTCTATGGATTTCAGATCCCTAGGAAGTCATATATTATGTATGGCAGTCTCTCAAACACAGTCAGCATCTTCAATAGCCAAGAGTGGTCAGGTTTTTAATAAATAGTTCGGGCTTTTCTTATCTCGGTACCCAGCTCATGAATAATGAGTATCGCGCCCCCACCCCCCTCCTGAAAGCCTGGGGGCCAGGCCTTCCTAGACTTCTGTCTTCTTCATTGGATTCATTTTTTCCTTCAAAATGTTTCGTGGCTGTCAGTTAGGTTCAAGACAGGTCACTGGGCTTCAGCTCCACGGTGCACCAAAGCAGACCCTGAGGTTCAATCGATCCTCTCCACTTTGCCCAGTATCCTGCCTTCATACATTGGGAGCACTGTCTCATCATCCCAGATCTCCTCGAACACTGCTCCACAGGCAAACTCATCACTTGCTTTTTTGAAGTAATACCTTAAAAGGAAAATCAGAAAGGCCTGTTCAAACTGCATCTTCTTGCACTGTTTTGAAGCAAGGCTGCCAACAGAGAAGCAAAGTGGGTATCTGGACACCTCAAACCAACGTGCACACCAGATGAACAGAGGAGAGTGGCTCACCCAGCCCAGGCCGCCTGGCCAGATGGACTAGACAGGTACATCATGGGGTAGAGAAGGCCAGGCTCTCCTGGGCAGCAGCCTGGCTCCCACTCCCACCTAGAACTGCTGCTGCCCACCTAACACAGACATGAAAAGCAGAGCTGTTCCTTTCCCTCTCCTTCTGAGGGGAGAGAATGGGAAGGGCAGATGTCTGGGTTTGTTTACCAATAGCAGGGGGTGGGGGGACCTTTCAGGGACCTGGGACTTAATGGAACTCAGCTCCAGAAGGGCCCCCTTAACCCATAGAAGCTGACTTGCTAGTTCATTAGTCCGGAGGCCACTTGACCTTCCCAAATTCAGGGCCCAAGTTGCAACACTCCCCGACAATCCTTGGTGTGAACAGACAGGAGGCATGCCAAAAGCAGGCTCACCTGTGTTGAGGAAGCATGGTATGTAACCCTCCCCTCTTGTTTGGGTATCCTGGCCTCTTCCTCCACCCTGCTTGGACTAAGGACTTCCCCTCCCACTTTTCACTGAAGGCCCCCCAGCTCATTCGTCCTTCTAAGGTTGCTTAATTGTACAGACACTAATGATGGCCTCTCTCAGGTCTTCTCAGGACAGTCACACTCAGAACTGCTGTCCTGGGCCAGGCCTTTGGGAGACTCCCTCACAGGGACTCAGCCTTCTCCTGAGCTGTCCCTTCTAGCCCATAAAGGCCACTCACAGGGGGAAAGGTGACCATCCCCTGGGACCAAGGGAGCCTCTAAAACAAAAGTGTCTTGGGGTTTAGGGATAAGGTTTGGTTTTTGTATTTTCTTTTGAAAAAATAAAAATTAAAAAAATAACTCCCCTGGGTTAAAGGTTGTATCCTTCCCTTTTGGGTGCAGGTGAGTTACAAACTAGTTCCGGAGGGCAGGCTAAGCGGGAGGCTGGGTGTAGTCAGGGTGTTCATCTATAGCATACTCAGATGGGCTGAGCTGACCATCCAGTGGCACAGCCATTCGGGGTGCTGCTGTACATAGAAGGGACCAAAATGCTTAAGGGAGCCTAAGAGGACAGGGGAAACAGAGTGGGGCCATAGGGCAGCAGGGGAGGAAAAAAGTCTTTTTTCCAAAGAGGCCCAAATGCCAATGCCACCCGCGGCCCCCAGCTCCAACCCCTCTAGTGTTTACCGAGCTGGGTTGTCAGAGCACCTCTGAGCAAACACTCATGACCTTTTCCATAATTGCAACCTCTTCCAGCAGGGAAAGAGGCCACATTCCCAAGGCCCCACCCCCAGGACTTCAAACGCACTGCCTTGCTCTCATTTCTCTAAGAACTGGGCTTTTCCACTGCAACAGGCTTCATGTGGCAAACTCTGCCTCCCCCTGACATCTGGCACCAAGAGCACCTGGCACGTCTGGAGGGTCTGTTTGCTTCCTGAATTCCTGCCATGTTGAGATTACTCAACTAGCCCAGGTCCCCGCTCCTCAGCCCCAATTTTTTTTTTTAAGTGAGGGCGGGGTCAGGGGTACAAACTAAGAAAAGGCCCTGCTTGATGGGAGGGAGACAAGACACAGTACTCTCCAACCCCACTGCTCCCCACAGTTCAACTAGGGCTGTACAGATAAGGGAGCTGGGAGGGCCTTCCCACAGCCTGATCCAATCAGGAAAAAATTTGAGAGAGGACCATTTGTGCAAGTCTTTGTGCATTAAAGGGGAGGCCAGAGCTTCAAAGCCAGGTTTATTAAATGTGCCTTAGGGAAAAAAAAAAAAAAAAAAAAAAAATAAAAGCCAGATTGGGCCGGAGAGGCCCCAACCCCCAAACACAGGACGTGCCATTAAAGGTGTGCGCCCCCCCCCCCTGCCAACAGTCATTATTTTAGGAAAAAAAAAAAAAAAAAAAAAAATCAGAGCCAGATGTGGCCGGAGTGGCCCATAGCCCCTACACAGTGTAGTGCCGCTTTCTCCGCTGAAGGTCACCTGCGGTTCCCCTCAAAGTCCAGCCGAGTCAAAGCCAAGATCAAAATGAATCCCTGGAGGGGCACACTTGTGTAATTAATTTCACCTGTGTCTTTCCAGATTCAAAGCAGCAGCAGCCAGGCCTGCTCCCCAGATCCTTTGATAAGTTTTCAGAATGCCTCTTCTCATGTATGACAGGAAATGATCTAGGCCTAGCTACACCCTGGCGACTCCCTCCCATCATCAGTCAACTGCAGGGTCTTGGCCTAGCCCCCCGAAAAAGGTGTCACCACTGGTCCCACCCAAAGAACTTCCTAATGGCTGGGCTGGTAAAATAACACAAGGCCTCTCAGGAAGGGGGGTGTCTTAGGGTGCTGATGGTAGAATGCCCATCTAGGAGCTAGGGTTGGCCTGGGAGGCTGAGTGACCTTCAGCCCCACCCAACCCATCCAGGCTTTGTGGGTGTATGTGGGCTGTGACTCTGCATAGAGCCCAGGACACACAACTGAGGGGACACTCCTTGGGTGCAAACCCCAAGAATGGAAACGTCCCCCCCTCGGGGTGTCCTGGACACTTTGTGTGCTTCACTTTGTTCTGGCTTGGTGTTCTGCACTGGAGACCTAACTGGAACGTAGAACCCACATAACATTTCCTTGGGATGGAGTCCACAGAGAAAGGAAAGGCGGCCTGAGTTCTGGATGGACTGATATGTAGCTATCACTTGCCTCTTAGTAAAGAAGTGACTAAGCAACAGGACCTGGCTTCCATCCTCCTCAACTCTTAGATCCTCTCAAGAGCCTGACAAGGTCAGTGTAGGCTTTCTCAAGGGCCCCTCCACTGCAAAGGAGGGAAGGAGGTCACGGGTTAAGCTCTTTCCCCAAGGCTCTGGTAGTGAAAGGGCTGTGAGACCTAGGCCCTACCCATAGGCCCAGCCCCAAATGTTCCTCCTACAGGTGACCTGTCAAATCAGGAAATTCACCACACAGAAGGGCCAAGTGGGGAGAACACTGGTGACTTTTCCCTAGTCAGGTCTCTGTCCTATTCTCTGAGCCTCCAACATGAAGACCTCTGAAGTGCTTTTGGGTTCTCCTTCATCAGTCCCCAACCCCAAGCATACACAAGAGGGCCCCCAATTCCAGGCAGAGCCTCTACCACACAGCCAAGCCCTACTCTCCTGGTAAAGGAAATGGCTGTGTCTTTTTCTCCTGGGTCTTGTTCACCTGGAGGAAAAGGCCTGGCCAAGTCTCCAGACCCACTCCCACCCAACAGCCCTACTATGGCTGCTATTGTGAGGTGAAGGGAGAGAGGAAACAGAGGGAGTCCAAATGCCCAGCTGCCTATGCAGGGCCAAGTACTCTGCAGAGGCCAGAATACCCTAGGCCCTGGCTCTGTGTTCTGAGCAAACTCTAGGGCAGAAAAAAAGTCACAGGACTCTTACCTATAATTTCCCTTTTTGCTGAGCTGCTCTTTAAAGTGGCCCAGGGTCAAGCTCTGAGCCTTCAGCATCCTCCTGTATGGAATTTCTTCGCCACAGAAAAAGTAAGTGACAACCAACTCACTGGCCTGAAGCACATGGACACCTGCCACTTTCTTTGGCTCTTTGTGACTGTAAAGACAGAATGCGACATGTTCAGCATCTTGAAGACACACACTTACATGAGCATACGTGTGTACACACTGATAAAGAGGCTGAGCTCTGTAAAGGAAGTCTGGGGCAGGACCCTCACATTACAGCAGCAGCCATTCCCCAACTGACATGATCTGCAGAACATTCAAGAAGGAATTACTTTCTTCTTGTTATACAAATTGATATCACATCCCTCAATGAGGGATGCCTTCAAAATGAGGCACATGGTGCTCTCCTCTGGTGAGCATAAATGAAGTGCTCACCAATGAAGACCAGAGAGGAGATGGCAGGGGAAACTGCCTGGGCACACCCTGATCAGGGACTGCTACAGAGGTCTTCACAGACCAGGGCACCTCACAGACAGCTCAAATGCGTAGGCCCACATCTTTCCCACAGAACCACCAACAGAAGAAGGGGGATAAGCATACTACTGTCTATTTTGTTTTTTAAGACAGGGTCTCATGAATCCCAGGCTGGCCCCAAACTTGCTGTATAGCCAAGGAGAACCTTGAACTTCTGATCTTCCTGCCTCTTCCTCCCAAGCACTGGAACTGCAGGTGTTCACCCCAATCCCCATTTATGTGGTGTTGGGATCTAAGCCAGAACTTCCCGAGTACTAGGTGAGCACTCTACCGAGCTCCGTCCTCAGCCCCACTGTCATTTTAACCCTCCTGTTTCGTCTGTTATAAAAGCTACTGGTACAGACAGCTGGTAGGCTTAAGGTCAACCAATTAAAAGAAGGAAAGGGCTCAGGAAAGTGGCTTATTCAGGACTTCAAACACTAATCACTATTCACATGAAGAAGCTAAGAAAGAAACTTTCTGTAATTAAACTGAGTCAGGGTTCAAAGTATCCTGAGCAAGTGTATATTCATGAAAAGAATCATGGCCTGGTTTGGGACACAAAGATAAGCCTTCCCAGAATCTGTGACAACAGAGAATCATCTCCCTGGTCAGGGGTGACACAGAGATGCTTCTAGTCCAGCTGACTTGAAAGTCCTAAGAGGGCAACATTTGTACAAGATTCAGTCCCTTTAGCCATCTGGTAGTGGCTTCATGCCCCTGCTTTTGAATCCTGTAAGCCCTGGAAAACGTGTTATGATGTAGCGATTCTCAGCAGACAGATTTCCCATGATCCTCACTGATGGCAACATTTGCATTTAATATTGCTCATCACTGACCTCATCATTAGTGTCAGAATGAAGGCTTTTTCAAATACCCAGAGTAGTTCCACATACACACAACTCCAGATAATGATATGCCCGGAAATGCATTAATGTCAGGCAGACACTCACTCTTCTGGAGCCAGGCTTGGGTTGGAGAAGGATGTGGCTCCTGCCTGACCTGTGGCTGAATGGCTCCTGTCCCTCTGCTGATTGGCCACGCAGCACCTGAGGACATAACAGGGTGGGGGATTTAAAAGTGTATTGTGACCCACGCAGGGCAGTCAGGAAGCAGAGGGAAAACCACTCTGGTCTCCCAAAGAGTCAAAGACTCAACTTCCCTTCCTGTAGACACCCAACCAAGGCCAAGTGTTAACAGATATTCTGGAACAGCCGTGAAATCTCCTGGCAGTCCCAGTGCCAGGAAAGGGCTCAAGACCCTTGATATTCCCCCAATCACAGCGACCCATACACTAATCAAATCCTCCTTAAATGAATGATGGCACTCATGACGAGGAATGGGATTTGTAAGGAATTACTGAATTATCCCCCTACTTATAGGCATGACTTACTTGCCTAGCAGACCCTGGTTGAACTCTGGCAGAGTGAACAAAGCCAAAGGAACAACTTCTAGAAGCTGAAAAGGAGACTCTTACTCAACTGGAAGCAAATTCCTCCTCCCCAGGGGAGTCAGAGTAAAGGGCCCTTCCCTCTCCACCTCCAAACCCATTCCTCCCGAGTCCCTGCCACTCACCGCTGCTTTTGGGGCTTTGACACCTCTGCCAGCCTTCTGCAGGCTTCTTCCAGCTGCGCCAAAGTGTTGGGTGGGGTCAGGGGAGGCACCGCAGGGTCTTGGGTAAATGGGTGGGCCCGGGGTGTCGAGCGGGGGTGTCCACTGCCTCCCCACAGATGGTGTCGGCTGACTCGTTCGCCCGGGGATGTGCGGGCAGACTCCAAGGGGTAAGTCTTTTTTGCACTTTGGGCACTGAACAAGACATGAGGAGAGGGTGAAGGAAACAGGGTTAGAAAAACTGGAAAATGTGACTTCAATAGAAACTTGTCTATTCTGCTCTGAAAGAGAAGAAAATAACTACCAGAACACAAACGGGGGTCACTGCCAAAGCATGACATTTTTGTGGTCTGCTCAGCCCAGTGTCTAACACTGAGGTGGCAAGGGTAGCCGCATTTGCACTCCACCGACTGCAGAAATAGCCAACCCCATACCGCCTCTGTGTCAGAGCCAGAGGGTGGTGTTTACCTATGAGGCTTGGGCTTGGTCTGCCGCTCGCTCTCCAGCATCCATTGCCAGACATCCTGTGACCGGTCTCCTTCCTCCCCAGGAAGCTGTGGGGCCCCTGCTCCATTGGATACCCCTCCTTCCCTGGCCGGCAGTGTCAGGCCCAGTTCCGTGCCTTTCACATTTCGTTTGGGCAAGGTACTACCTCTGCTGCCGCTGCAGGGAAGCAAGAACACCACCCAGCCCAGGCACTCCATTAAAACCCCAGGAGTCCTGGAATTAGTCTACCCAACAGGGTGCAGTGAGGGACGATCCATGCACCTGTCTGTCTCTCCCCACCCTGCAGTAACTTCTGTCCAAGCCCCTCCTGGAAGCTGGACCAGGGTCCCTGCTTTACACCTGCCCAGGGCTCTGGCTGGGAGAAAAGCTCCACCCCAGGGTGAGACATTCACTCACCCAAACTGCTCCCCTGGCAAGGGCTCTGGGGCCTTGGGGTGGCTCTTGCATTTTGAGTAGCAGTAATAGTCGGTGCCCCCAGGGCAGAGGCAGCGCACCCTCTGCGTTGCTTCTGCTTCGATCTCCTCCCTGGTCTTGGGGACGGCGTGGTGGTGGATGTAGTGGTGATGAACATGTTTCGTCATCTGCTTGCTCAGGAAGCCTTTGCCCCCAAGGAGTGGGCAGGTAGCCACAGGGGGCAGCTTGCCCCCCAGCGGGAGGACAGAGTGGTACTGCTGGTGGTGGTGGTGGTGGTCAGGGGAGCGGGAGCGTGGGCTATAGCGGCCCACACCAGGTGACTGGCAACCAGGGGTCTTGAGGACCCTGGACAGGTGGTCATCCAGAATGGTCTGCGGGTCATCTTCATAGCTGCCAGAGGGCAGGAGGGACAGGGGGTGTTGGATGGGTGCTCCATCCCGTGAGCTCAGTGCCAGTGCCTGCTCGGACCCCTCCTTTTCTTCATCCTGGAAGCAGAGGCCACATAGGGGAAGTGAATATGGAAGGCTCTTCACGCCCTGGGTTCACACGTGCAAAGCCCCCTACAACACGATGGACAGGACGCGGTGGCCTGGCCCTACCTCTCGGATCTGCTGCAGCCGCTCCTCCAAGCTGTGGCGGCTCTCCAGCTCCAGTTTCAGCTTCTCCAGCCTCGAGATGAGTTCAGCGGCAAAGGCAGCAGGTTCCACGGGCGTCATCTCCTTGGGCAGGCGGTGGGTTCTCTGAGGGTTCAGGAGGAAGGGGATGAGGCTCCGTTAGCAGGCCAGACAGGCTCTGGAGATGCCAGCTTAGCTGGAGCTCCCAGGGCCCAGCGACGTGTGTCCAGTCCCCATGTTTGGGTGGAGAGAGGATGGCAAGGCGGCCTGGGCTGCTCAGGATTTTATGCTCTGGCTCTGTGGCCTCATGGAGAGCCATGGTCCCCACCAGCATTTGCCTTGGGCAGGAGCAGTTGGTCGCACTCCGAGAGGCCCTGCTTGTTCTCTCTGTAGTACAACCAGCCCATCAGTAGCTACTCTGAAGTAGAAAATCTTCAAAGACTGTTGTCAAACATCAAAAAAAAAAAAAAAGAGGCAGCCCTCTGAGATGGGGAGGAGAGAAACCAACTCAAGGAATAAAAAGTCAAGTCTAAACAGAAGGGGAGTTGGAATTAAAAAAAAAATAAGATTGGAAAAGAGGCAGGGGGGAGGGAGGGGAGTGGGAGAAAGGTACCGGCCCCAGATCAGAGGAGAAGTGGTAATTTATTTCCTGGCCGCACACTGCGCACCTTTGAGGTGGTGTTGTCTCAACACCATCCTCCATCTCGCTCGTTTTTCTCCTCCCCTCCTCCCTATCTCTTTGTACAGAAAATGAAGAGAGCTGCTGCGGGCTAGTAGCAGAACACTGCTGAGCTTGGCTGCCTGAAGCTGATCTATCAAGGGAAAACGGAACATCTCCAAATCAAGTGCAGAATATAAAAAGGCGCCGGGAACGCCTGCCAAGAGCAGCGAAGGCGAGAAGCCCCGCCGCCCAGCTTTCTGTCCTTTTTCTGTCATCTCCCTCCCTTTCCCTCCCCACCTCTCCACTTACTCTACCTCTACCTCCACCTCCTCCTCCTCCTCCCCCTCCCTCTCGCTTTGCTTTTTTTTGGGGGGGGGGTGTAGAGAGAGCAGAAAACCAACTTGCCAATGCCGGCATCTCTCCCCAGCTGAAGAGCCAGCCTCACCAAGGCAACCACTTAGCAGAGGCATGATAGGGGAGGGAAAAGCCCCTATGTGGAAGGCAGTTCTCAAGAGCTCTGGCTCCATACACCCCAGCCCCATCAAAGCACCAACTGATGAAGAAAGTCCATTATGCACATCCCAGGACAAAACCATCTCACCCGCAGGCTTGTGGGTGATAGAACTTCTGTTAATATTTACACTCCCCTCCCACCCCATCTCCATCTAAATGTTTGTCATCTACATGTTATATGGGGAGGAGACCATGGAGGGTCCTCTGAAAGCAATCTTAACATGCTGATTTTAAGATAAGGTTAACTCTGCCATTCTGTGTCTTGAGCTTCCTGAAAGAGCTACAATCTGTGTGCTCAGGTGATGCAGGATCAGATGTGTTAACTCTCTGAATACAATATAACCAGAAGGACCAACTGGCTCTCCAACGCTGCTAGGAAGAAGACCTGACACCTGCTATGGACCGCGTGCTCTCTTCTTCTCCCTGCATCCTGGATATCAGGCTACTATAAAAAGAGCACAGCCCTGAAATGGGCATGTCGACAGAGTGGCGCTCTTGGGTATAGGGAGCTGTGTCCTGGCTGCTTTCAGGGACATGTGAATAATACCAAGGACGGTCCCAAGGAAGCCCTTCACTCTCCTGCTCCATCACAGAAGGAGGAGTCTCAAGAAAGCCTCACTTCCAGACACTCCATTCAAACTCACCTGAGCCAGCTCTGGAGTAGACGACTGCACAGCTGCCCTCTGGGGGCATTCAGACCCTAGCAGAAATGCTCAAGGAAACCAATCAATGGACTACTAGTAAGCAACTGAGCTGTGCAGAAGCAGAAAGTCCCACAGATGTGACTTTCTTAGAAAGGGGGCACAGATTCTCCTATGCTCATTCACACCAATGTTTAGGAGCTGCTCTTAGTCTGGACACAGAAGCACACAGACAAAACTCCCTGCTTGCAGGGAGCTTCCAGTCTAGCAGAATGCAGTGAGCCAATCCTGTTGTATCTGGTGTTACTCAGTTCAACACCACACCCCAAAGGACCACATACTTTCCCTAGTTCAACAATTTCTTCCTCTCCTTTACCCTAGAGGACCTCAGGGTAACTCTCTTTCCCACCCATCTCTCTTCTGGAGTCAGGACTGTCCAGTCTGTACTTACCGGGAAATGAGGTAGAGATACTTGGCCGTTGGCCTTCGCACTTCGGTGCATTTCTCTCTGGAGCTGTTTCTTACTCCCCATGCGGTAAGGAGGGATTCCATCTCTATGGGAAAAGACAAAATTCACAGGCTCACAGGGATGCTCTCAGGACATGAGCTGACTCACACACACACACTATCCTGAGATTCTGTCAATGAAAAGAGCTATGTGCTTCCATGGGAGTGGGTCACACATCTCCAGACACAATTACTGTCCCTAAGGAGAAGAATTCATCCAAGATCAAATTGCCAAGCCTACTTCACGTCCTGCCTGTCAGTCATCTGGAAACTTGGCTCCCTTTCAGCTACAGAAAAGGTGCTTAGCTCCCTTTCCAAGCACCAGCTTGGAAAGAGCTTACCTGCTCATTTCTTGGGCTATGGTCTCAGAATAGAGTGTCGCTTATTTTTGAGGAGATGATATCTGGGCTCCTGTGGCTTGTCTGTTATCAGTCCAAGTCAGAAAAACAATGCCAGGGTGAAAAGATTGTAGGGACAGGTGAGGAACCAAACTTACTGGCGTATCTACCTATTATTGAAGGCACCTATAAGTTCCAACAGCCAACCTCTAAATTATTTCTAATTTTCTTCTCTTCATAAATTGTTTTATAAATCACCTTATGGTGATTTCCGATGGTTTCAAACCCTGTCATCCCTCATGCAATGCATCAAAACATTCAAGTGTCTCTTGCATGCCAGACTTTACCTAGGTATCTTCCTTCTAAGGCAAGAGTGAAGGAGACAGGAGACAGGAGAGCACAGCTTTTCTTAGTAAGTTTATATTCTAATAAAGTGACACAGGCAGCATAAAATATAAGGAAGAACATATTTGAAGGCAGCTAAGTGCTGTGATAGAACATAAGGAAGAAAGCGGGGTCGGGGGGGTCCTGCTGTGGATGTGAGGGTACAATTTAAAATTGGGTTGGTGGTCAGTAAAGTCTGGGTGACCTTTGAGTGAAGGCCCAGAAAGACGGCAGGCCCATACAGCTTTTATTCTATTTAAAAGACAAAACATAGGCTGGTTGTAGTGGCACAGGAATTTAATCCCAGCTCTCTGGAGGCAGAGGCAGGCAGATCTTCTCTGTAAGTTCAAGGCTAGCCTTGTCTACATAGAGTTCCAGGCCAGTCGATGCTACATAGTGAGACTGTCTCAAGAAAACAAAAAACCCAACCAAAGATGCATATACATATAAAATAAGTAAATAAATAAAACAAACATGGGCCAGGTATGGTAGCACGCACCTTTGATCCCAGGCAGAACTCTGAGAGTTCCAGGCCAGTACCAGCTACATAGTGAGGCTGTCTCAAAAGTAAATAAATAAGTAAATAAGCAAGTGGAAGAATTTATTCTTTTAAAGCTTCTACTCCAGATAGAGTCACTAAAAACATGATTGGGAGTTGCTACCATTCAAAACCAAACCAGTGACTTTCCGTCTTAGAAGTAGTGGGATGAGCAAGGTGGGGCTCTCCCATAGATGCCCTTCCAGAGCCGCTTATTTGCAAAGCCTCACATGCTCCAATGATGAATCACTGTAAGGCTATAAATACTGAAACTGGGTGTTTGCCTATTTCCCTTTCCTTAGTATTTTGTTCATCATAGGGTGAAAGGAAAGAAAAAAAAAAACCTGACTCATCAGCAATAGATGACAATCAAGGGTTTAAAGATAAAGCCAGGCATGGTGGCACACACCTTTAGTCCCAGCATTCAGGAGGCAGAGGCCAAGGCCAGCCTGGTCTACATAGTGAGTTCCAGGCCAGCTGGGACTACAGGGAGACCCTGTCTCAAAAAGATCAAGGGGGGGGTGGGGCACGGAGAAGATACCAAGAAGGGTGTCAGGAGTAATGGTTGACTTGGGGCTCCCTATCTGGAATGCTCCCAGAATTTTAACTGCCTGTGTTTTCTGGAAGGCGGCTGGCCTAGGCCCCAAAACAAGGCTTGTGGGGAGGACAACAAAGATTCCATTAGGTCAAGGCGTGATTCAGACCTTGACCAGATAGTACAAGGAGGGTAACTGCATTGAGAGGCATCAAGAGGTGGAGAGAGCTCAGAATCTAAAGCAAGAATTTCCAAGTATGAGTCCTCCCCCAGAGAAAGCAGAAGGGACTAAGCTAAGCTGGTTGTCCAGAGCTGGCAAAAGATAAGTCCCTGACTCACCAAGGCCTGCACTTGACCAGGAAGGTAAAAGGTTAAGTTCAGCAACTTACTAAATCACCTAAAGCTGATTTTATCAAGGCTTGGTGCTTGGGATGGTTGTCTAGACATAACGGTACCTTGAACTCTTCAGCAGCAACCAAATCCCACCCAAGCAACCAATTCTAGCTTGAACCTACCAACTCCCAAAACCAAGTTTAGATGCTGGTTAAACACTAAACACATATCAGACTCAAGAGGAGTCTTAAGGAACCACATTTTTAAAAATGACCAGAAATGAGACTCAGGTTGGGAATATAGCTCAGGGGCAGAGTGCTTGCCTAGTACGCACGAGGCCCTGGATTCAATCCCCAGTATGCAAAGAAAGAGAAGAAAAACTTCACATATAATAACTTGTCTAACGTCCCAGTCAGTAGTGACTGGGTCCAGGATCCCAACCCAAGCCACTTCTGGACTCTGCAACAGGAGCCTTTAACTCAGCAGTCAGCCCTCAAGACCTAGCCTTTCTGACAGTCTGAATGTAGGGCACTGTTTCCTATGTTCAAAGAAGCCACTTGACACATTCTGGAAAGGACAAATGGGAAATGTGGAGAATGTTCTAGAAAGTCTTACTCCACCATTCACCATTTAGTACTCACTGGCTATAGAAATGCCAGGCAGGCGTGGGGTTCACACAGAATGGGTCTTATTTGGCGTGATCACCTCCTGCTGCCCCAGGTCTGCATGAACGCCCATGCCTCTCTCCTGACTGGTTCTTCTTTGGGGAATTTAATGGTGGAAGGAGCTGTTCCAACCCACTCCCTGATGATCTTGGAGAACAAGTCACCGCCCCCCCATTTCCAACACCCCTCTCATGGTACATGTAGCATCAGACTTCAAATGTCCTCGGTGGGCTGGCGAGATGGCCCAATGAGTAAAAGTGTGAGCTACACAAGAGTCCTGGATATGATCACCAGAACTCATAACTATGGAAGGCAAGAACCCTGACCTCCACACCAGCACTGTGGCACAAGCACCTACACACAATGACACAAAGTCTCAGGAGCCCTTCCCCATCCAGCCCTTTCAGGACTCTGCCATAAGTTCCTACCAGCAGCCTCTCATCTCTTTCCTCTCTGACAGAAACCAAGGGCAAGGCTTTTATATCTTTATGCTTTCTCCATATAAGGTAGAAATAAAGAGAACAGGGGGTGGGGTAGAGGGAAGCTAGGAAAGGTGACAGCCAGCACAATGGGCAAGAGGAACTCCCACAACATCCAGGCAGGTGAGGGATCCCACCACAGGAAAGGCAACTTGTGACCAGAGTCCAAAGGGGGAATTTTAGCTTGGAGAAGCCCAAGAGGCTGACAGCACCTTCTTGGAAATGTGGCTTTAATTCCCCCTAGCTAGGAATCTTCTTCCAAAATAGTCACTCATTCCAGAAAGGGGCCTCTTCTTTCTTCTATTTGGGCTCTAGAAGTTTATGGTCGGTATCCTGGCTCCTCTAACCGTGGGCTGAAGAATGAGTTTTGGTCCCTCTACAGTCTTCTTTAATTACAAACATTTCAGCTAAGGAGCCGCTGCTGGGCCCAGCTGTTTCTGGGGAGCACTGATTTTGAAGTGTGGACTCCACTTAGCTGTCATTTAAGCCAAGCCAATTAGCTTAGCCCTTTGACTCTGCTGTGCCCGAACTAACCTGAATGTCACTTTTCCCAGTGGCTTTGAACTAGCGAGCGCAGGCACACATGTACCCATGCGCATCTGCATTTGGCAGTCACTCTGAAGTGGCCTCTGATCACAGCCAACATCAAAAGTCTGGTTTGTAAAATAACGTAATATCTGAAGTTTGTTCAGGTACATTCCCTGGTGTCCAGAACAAACTCCCACATGTAAAATATAAGGAAATAAAAATAATAAATAAAATAGCTTATGCCAGCCCCTTGGAAAGGGAAGAGTCATCTTGTGCTGATTTGGGGACACATTGAGCAGAAGCAAGCTACATTCAAATGCAGCCAATCCTGATTACAGAGGCAGCTCCCCACAAAAAAAGACCGGATAGAAACCTGGTACCCTCAGCTTAGAGTTCTTAGGCTTGAGCGGCTGCCCCCAAGCTCCACTCTCCTAAACCTGCACCTTTCTCTGGATAGCCCCACATTCCTCCTGTCCCTAACACTCCCACATTTGGGTTTAGGATGTTGCTGGAAGTCTGGCAGTCAACTTTCAAAGAATTTTTTTTAAAGTCATTTCTTCCGAGAATGCAGTTTCAGAGTAACAAGCTCATAAAACAGCTTTCTCAGAGGCCTAAAAGAGGCTTGAATCCCCCAGCTGTTTTCAATGGGGATTTTTACTTAGTGGCAAAACAGAAGTCAGCAGAGGACTTTGGGAGAGGGCAATGGGTTCTGTGAAGCCCCTGCCTGCTCCACATACCCAGGCCATGCCATGCAGCTCCTTGGAAGAACAGAGGACTGGCCAGCCCTGCCCCACCTTCTACCCAAGCCTCTTGCAAAGGCCCAGGGGACTTAATTGGTTCTGTGGCAAATGAGACGATTGCTTCCCTGGGCTTGTGTCTAATGAACTCCAACCTTCTGGAGTCTATTGAAAGCTGCCTATGACCACCCCCCTTTCCCCCTCATCCCTGTCCCCTCCCAACTCCCAGCAGGGCAGCCCCAGCCCCTCAGCCCCTCACAGCCCACGCCAGCCATTGTGAGGAGGAGAAGCATCCAGGCCTCTTTTCATGCTTTATGGGGCGCTCCTATTCACTTGTTCAAGGAAATTTCAAAGGGGCCTGCTACCCTCTTATCCCCTCTAAGCTTCCCTGGATGAACAATGGACTGAAAGCGATTCAGCTTTGCTTTTCATCCCCCCACACACTTTATTTCTCACTTGGTGCTCTCATCTGCACGAGGCCCACAATTGGCAGAGCTCTGAAGAGGGGGTCTAATCCCAGCCCTGGGAATCCCGGGTGACCGCCCAACACAGGGCAGATCACACACATCCAGAGCCGGTTGGCCAGAAAGGGCTTCACATCACCCCAAGCTTTTAGTTCAAGCCAAGTCTACTCTGCAGGAAAGAGGGGATCACCCACTCCTGGGGGAGGGGGAGGTACCCCAGGCCTGGCAGCTGATGGCAGCTTGAGAACCACAGGAGCCTTCAAAAGTGTGAGCAAGCCCCATCACTGGACTCTGGGTTCTGGACATCCTTTGTTCCCCTAGCATGAGACAACTCCCAGGAGTTCTTGGAGGATTCCCGCCCCCCATGCCAACTGCCCCTCCAGTTGGTCTAAACATGCTTAGGTAGATATATTTTTGATGAGGGATCCAATAGATGCCCACTTGGTTGGGAGGCTGAGCCAATACCATAGACCCCAGGACTCCAAGCCTTACAAGTACTTTCTCTTGGCCTACTGGTTTAGTCATTCACTGTAGCATGGTACTATAACATGGCAGGGGGGGGGGGGCATAGCAGGCAAGGGACTGTATCTGGCCTGGGTCTGAGTTTTGCATTTGCTATAATGGCTAAGGACACACAAGGTTCCATCTCTGCTTGTCTGTGGAAGTTACCAGTAACTACCTACCTTGCTGATTGGATCCTCTGAGGATCAAATAGAAACAAGCATGAGACCACACCCAAGTTATCGCATCATGAACCCAGAATAACACCTTAGTGATGGGGACTAAAACCAAGCCAAGGACCAAGGAAACAAGCCAAACTATTCGCTAAGAAATCTAAACAGAAGCCTCACAGTCTTAAGTAAACTGCACTGGACTTCAGAGATTCTCTCAATGGCTTCATTCAATTCCAAGTTGTTCTTACTTTACACATGGCAATGAGGTTCCTGCACAATCCTATGTAACACGATAATCACTCTATTAGGAGGGAGTAATGCTTTATTAGCTGTCAAGAGCAGAGATGGCAGCAAAACAGGCCACACAGAAAAAACTATGTATGGGGGCAGTCGACCCCGGGACAGAGTCCTTTACAGCCTCTTACCCTAGGAGAGAATACTATCATATGGCATGAAAACTGATTTTGATATTAATTTTTGGGATTATCAAGAAACAAGCTATCCCTTGTTTATATACTATTTAGTAAAGACAGCAAAATGTGTTGGGAGAGCCAAGCATGGTGACACATGCCTTTAATTCCTGCACTTGGAAGACAGAGGCAGGCAGATTTCTTTGAGTTCCAGGCCAGCCAGGGCTACATAGTAAAACTCTGTCCCAGTGGATGGACTCACACTGAAGGACACTTAGGGACACAAATCAGACTCCATATGCAGTAAATTATAGATATAAGAGTACATTAAATTGGGGAGAGGCAGTTGGGGGAGGTGTGGCTCGGGGGGATCCAAATACCATCCAACTATATTGTATGAAAATTTTAAAAATTCAATAAAAAATTATCCTCAAAACAAAATGTTTGAAGGAATAGGTCCTTTAAAGAATGATGAATAGAGACCTCAGCCAACATGGAAACCCACTTCTCTGAAAACTTTCCTCCCTACCGTCATCAAAATGCCTTTCTTTCATAAAATTTTAACTTTTCACCTGAAGAATCTCTCATCCCTTCGCTAACAAGGGAATCTGAGGTAACACCATAAAAACTACAGGAAAACTAACAGTAACCAACAGAAAATCAAGTCAGCTCAACTTTCCCTTCAGTTGGGCCCATGTGGCCAGCCAGGCTACAGGACAGTGGCCAATAGAAACCAGACAGTTTCAAACACATGGTAAGAATAGATGGTCCAGTTTTAAGAAGCTAAAAAGAACAGAGTCTAAATAAGTATTCCAGCACTTACACCACTCAATGGGCTTGCCTTTCAAAGCCGTTCCCTTAGCAAGAAAAACTCTGACTCTAAAACATTTGCTGGAAAGCCTTCAAAGGCCATTTCTGAAATAGTGATTCTCAACTGAGAAACCTTTGGGGAATTTCACCTAAGCCTGAAGTTCACTTTGAGTTTTCTAAATCAAACCCCCAAAGGATGGCAGGAAACAGCTATCAAGACCAGCACAACACCTCACACCCCACTATGAGACAGACTCAAGGGTTGCTGCTATCCATGCAGAGACTCCCAATTTCACTTCAAGTGACCCAAAACTCAAAAGTATGACCTTGCCTGATGGTCTACTGATCTCACTGGACCCCTTCAAGGACTTGGGATTGCTTTAAAATAGGCTGAAGATCTGAGGTCAGACATGACAACAGAGAGCCCCTGGTCCTCAGAATCTGACAGAGTTGGGACCCCACCAGCATTTATAGAACTGAATGACAGTCATTGAAACACTTCCATGTGTACACTGTGCATACTGGCCTTTGGAGCCATCTGGCTTTCTGCTTCCCACCTTTAAGGAACTTTCCCAATAACATTCTGTGTTCTGCCTGCTGGGTCTGCAGCAAATATACTTGGGTTTCAGGACCAACCAAGCAATTTCCCCATAGGCAACCAAAGATGGTTTTAAAACTTCAAGAATCCATCCTGATGGATACTCATCTTACCTTTCTGAAATCTACTGTGGTTTTCTTCTGAGCGGGCACTACTCCAGCTTTCCCTTCAAGGCTTTCACTGAACCCTACCCAGCTCACCGTGCCTCTCTCCTTTACCAGCACCACGACCGTGTCATTTTCACCTCCTAGCAAACCAACGTCCAGTCACAGAAATGCTTCTGAAAAGCCTGGTGCAAAGACAATTCTGCCCAGAGCCCTGGTGAGACACACTCCCAGTCACATATGTGGAAGGGACACCAGATACTTACACACTGCTGTCTGTCATGGACATGGAATCATCAGTTAGTGCGTCACTGGATATCTCGCTGTCATTGGCGCTGGTGGCTGGCGCAAAGACGTAGCCGGAACCTACATGATAGGGGTTAACGGGGTCGCTCCTCTTAAAGGACCTATGGGCACAAGAGGAATGTGGTCAGGTTCTCACCAGAAACCTAGGTTACCAGGTAATCCTAGCATGAGGCAGTGCACAATGCCACGTCTGTTCCATGTCAACCTACTGCCCAGGTCCAGCTGCAAGTCCAGGCATAAAGCCACAAAAGTAAAGTTAGCCACTGACATCCCCCCAGGAGGAAGGAAGATTGGGTTCCCCTACCCCGAAAGGGAGATCGGTCCACAAGAGCAGGGTGGCAGAGGTCGCCCTGGGAATCCTTCTGAGTCCTAAAGTACTAAGAGTGCAAAAATCAGCACTGCTCTAGAACAGGAGACTGCGGGCTGAGAGCGGGAAGGCGGCGTGGGCCAGGTGTCTTCCTCTTCTCAGTCACCACATCCAAGCCTGATCAAAGAAGCCAACTTTGGAGCCCCAGAACACCTTAAGCATCCTAACTCCCTATCTGGAGTCTTCCAGCTTAGTCCAGAGATGAAAACATCTAGAAGCCTGAGGTGGCCTTCCCACTTTGACCTAGGCCCACAGTGAGCCAGACAGATGTGGCAGGCAATGTGTAAGCCCCCCCCCCCAGGTGGCCATGCACTGCACCTCTGCAGTGCCCTTCCCCCCAGCCTGGCTTTCCTTCCCTCAGGGCAGGCTGAGGCTCCAGGACTAAAATGAGCAGCACAGCTGTGTCAAAGGCAGGCCCAGGCCCCTCCTCCAAGGGTCTCCAGTCCTTTTGTCTCCGTGGCCTCTGGGTCCCCATTTCCCTCTCTTGATCTCCTCCCAGAACAACCAGAGTGCCTGTCTCCTGCTGGGCTGCATTCCTCATGTCACTAGCCAAGGACTTCAGATAGGGGGAGGGGAGACAGGTCGTCAGGCTGCAGGAAGGGTTGGTCCCTTCCAGGGGTAGGTCACCCTGATGCTGTGGCTGGCCTCATTCACCAAGCCCCTGGCATAGTCCACTAGGGTTCAGCTGGCAGCAGACATGAACTGGGGGAGAAAGCTTCAGAACAGAGAGCATATTCCAGCAGGCCTCAGCAGCTGCTCCTATAAAGATAGCTTTGGGGCTGGCAGGAGAGTGACCCAGGAAAGGTCACAGTCAGCCATCTGCTGGCACATGTGCCTGGCAGTATGCTGGGCTCTGGGCATTTGTAGCCCCCAGCTCTGGTCTCCTGGTACCTAGGAGGTATAATAGAAGGAGTTGTCTTGAGGGAGGTATATGTATGTCTGTATGTCACTGAAGGTCCACTGAATCATAGGCATCATCTGTGGCAGAGAGAATGTTGTGCTGTGCCCATTTTCCAGATAAAGCCTTTAGTGATCCCAAGTACACAGTATCCTGCTCTGGACTGTACAGCTGGAACGGGCAGGCCTGGAATAGATACGTCTGGCTCTATTCAGCCTCTTCTCTTTCTGCTTCCTAATGTAAGACATTTTAGAGAGTTCCAGAACAGGATATGATGTAGAGGTTTGGGGATGGCTCCCTGGGACAGAGAGGAGCCAGGTACATCATGAAAGATAAACAGAGATGATACCCAGGATAGAGGGTGGGGATAGGAAAGTAAAAATCCCTCCCTAGATGGGGGCAGTTCTAACTAGTTGGGCTAAAACTAGTTAGACTAGTAAGACTGGAGCAAGGGCCACAAAGCAGGCCTTTGGTACAAGGCCAGAGTCTATCCGAACAGGACAAGAACCAGGAGGATGGGGACTGCTCTATGGGGGATGCATCATGGGGGGTGGTCACAGCACATGGGGTCTAGGAGTGCCTCAGGGTTGGATGGACAGAGGAACAAGTGCAGGCAGAATTCTAACCCAGGCAGGAGCTGTTTGTTCCCTTTGGGGGAAGATCTCAATGGGGACAGTGGTTAGAAAAGGTGGGAGGGAAGGGAATTCCTCTATAAAGAGCTTCTGCTCTAACTGGACTCCTGAGTGTCTCACCTCAGGCCCTCCATTCAGAATGCTAACACAAATCATGTGTACCCATAGACAATGGTGTATGTGTGCATGTGTGGCACCTTGCTCCAGAGACAAAAGTGTTTTGTTTTTGCATCCCTGGCACCCAGAACAGGGCTGATACACAGTAGTGCTCATGTGAGAACTGCTGCTCCGTTATATTTATTTATTTATTTATTTATTTATTTATTTATTTATTTATTTATTTTTACATGTATGAGTGTTGTGCCTGCATGTATAAAAGTGAACCATGTGCATGCAATGCCCACGGAGGCCAGAAGAGGGCATCTGATCCCCAGGAACTGGAGTTAGGGACAGTTGTTAGATGCCATGTAGGTGCTGGGAACAAGCCCAGGTCCTCTGCAAGAGCAGCCAGTGCTCTTAACCGCTGAGCGGTCTCTCCAGGGAGACCTCATCATCTTGGATCTTTACAACTACCCAATGAGGTTCCCAAGGCCCAAGAGTCAACACATCAGAGACTCAGCCAGAGCAACTGGACTGTGGCTGGGATCATGGTTCTGTCCCACTGCACCAGTCTGGACTGGGTTGGTAAGGCAGCCTTAGAAATGTTACTCAGGCACAGAACTGTGTAGAAGATGCAAACCAGGAGTGCTGCCTGTGTGAACTGCCTTGTAGACTTCTGACAAGTGATTCTGTTGTTTTGTTTGTTTTTTTTGGGGGGGTTCTTTCTGAGACAGGGTCTCCCTGTAGCACTAGCTGACCTAGAACTATATAGACGAGGCTGGCCTTAAACTCAGATCTGCCTACCTCTGCCTCTGGATGCTGGGACTAAAGGCGTGTACCACCACGCCTGGCCTTGACAAGTGACTCTGAACTGCCCCCACCACTGGTCCCACCCTATCTGCTGAGGACAGGGAGATTTGCCACCTCCTAGGACTTTTTGTGACGATTTGACAAGATTGGTTAGACCATTCATGCCTCTTCCTCGTCCACATATGCTCAACCTGGGGTTCCAAGGCACCCAAGATGGCAGAGAGTGAGAACACAGCTGGTTTTTCTTAAAGAGAAGGCTGAGGGGTGACTGGCCACCCAGCCTCTTGGTCAACAAACTCACAAAGAGGATGATTTCCTGCTTACCATCACCTCCTAAGAATGAACAAGGTCACAGGTCAGAAGAAAGGTGTGCTGAATGGCCAGAAGAGCTCTTAGAGAGGGAGAGGACAGGAACAGCCCAAGCCTTTAAACAGCACCAAGTCCCCAGGTTGGGTGTGAGACTCCCCTTGAAAAAACAAGGAGTTCAGACCCATCTAGTATCATCATGACTTATCACAGCTGACGGCTGACGCCCTCCCCCCTCAGACTGTGTGCTCCCTGGAGGCTCACCCTGTCTTCACAAGCACATCTGCACCGCCAAAAACAGGGGTTGGCCTGTGGCAGGAGCTCCAAACAGAGCTGAGCCTCTTCAAAGACCTACATCCATCAAATGGGCTGCTGAGGAGGTTTTAAAGAGGCACAGCACAAAAATCAAAACAACCAAAGAGCCTTAAACAGCATTCAAACTCCTTCCCTCCCCTCAGTCTTGCTATCTTGGTGGTATTAACAGATCAGCAACATTCTCAGATGTAAGACTTAAGACTTCAGCCTCCAGAGGGAGAAAATGACTCAATAGAAATTCCTTCCTCTCCACCACCACCAAAAAAAAGACACCTAAGTCAAACCCCACGTGTGCGTGCACAGCCTTGCACTACGTTCACACACAGCTCCCAAAATAAACTCGTCTCCCTCCACTTCCAAAATAGAGGGCTACTGTGTGACTGGTAATTAAAAATGGAATATACAGCTCTTAACTCAGATGACTGCAGTAAAGTGCTTGGATTTTCCTACAATCATAACAAGACGGAGAAAAGAGGCAGGGTAGAGGGAGAGACAGAAACTCAGGTTTTAAGCATAGAACTTTCTCCAAAGTGCTATAATTTTAAGAAAATGGATTAGAACTGTTTTCTTGTGATTACTTTAAAAAAAAAAAAAAAAAAAAAGGAAAGAAACTGGAGCCTACTGCCGTAATTGTACCCAGATGCCTTCATCAGCCTGCTCCCAGTAGTACAGGGATCTTGCATTCCTACAAAGCCAGGAGGCCTGTGGTACATTCTGCATGGGGGCATGTACACATGGACCACTCTGCCAATTCGAGGTACAGGCAAAGGCTCCTGGGACACTGAGGGAAGGAAGGGTCTGTGGCTGGCTAGGTCTTACCTCTTATCTTGATGGGATGCCTCCCTCCCTCCCCCTCTGCTTCCCAGCCAGACAGCCAACAGAACCCATCCAACTGGACTGGGGCCCCTTCTAACAGTAGAACAACAAAAGAACTGTTTCTAAGGCTGTGCTGGACATGAGCCTCTGACACTTCATCCACAAGGTCAATACTCTCTCCAACGATCATTTTGCAAGGCAAGATCAAGGGATGGGTGGACAGTGAGGGTCAGTGCCTTCTGGAACCAAGCAAACTTTGACAAGTGTATCTTAGCCAGCTGAGCTGGCCAGAGCCTCATCCTCTAATTGCGACTACTGCTCCCAGCATATCTTTCCTATGGCATCATTTTCTTTGATAATTGTAGCCAAGCTTGATTCCAATGGCTTCGCACAAAAATGGGCCTCATCGGCCTGTTCTTTCAGAGAACAGGAAGCGCTCACAGCCAGCAAGGGCCATCTGCTGAGCCCCTGGGATTTTAAGAGCAGTGGCCAGAACAGAGGGTCCAAGGGAAGGCAAATGAACCCTGCCCAGGGCCAGGGCAGAAAGGAGCACATACAGGGAGCGCTCTGCACCCAACATTGTATCCTCCTTCCCAAAATAAGTGCTGGGCTGAGCGCTTGGGCCCAAGCCTGGTCTACACACACCTTGACACCCACAGGGGAGTGTGTTTGTGTGCTGGGGTTGGTACACGTGCTCACACCACCAGGTCATTCATTTATGCCCTTAGTTATTTATAGAGACCATCAAAAGCCCAGGCATCCCACTCAGCCACTTGTAAACCAAAGCCCTTCCCTCCAAGTATAATTTCTGCTCTTCCGTCCCAACTATTTATATTAAACCCGACACCAAATCAGTAAGGGCACAAACAAGTCGTTAAAAACGAGGCTCCTTTTGAATGCCCACGTAAACACAGGGCTTGGCAGGTTGGCCAGTGCCTTGGGCACCCAGTGGCCAAGATGGCTCTTAGCAGCTGAGGCAGACAGACCCTCCGCAGGCTCAGGCTCTGTTTCATTCATTTTACTGGCATAACTTACTCAGACATCCCCAAGGCCAGATAGTCTGTGGGATAAGTGAGTGGATAGACTCAAACCTAAGATTGAAAGGCTGGTCCCTGTGTTCAAAGAACTGGCTGAAGGCAGAGCTGAGAAATTCAGTGAGTAAAGAAAGCCGGGACAGGAAGGGGGTTACCCTAAAATCTTACCATGAAAAATGAGCTAAACCCCAGAGTTATTCTTTAAAAGGGATATGCTAACCTGGCTGTCCTTTTCATAAACCCAATTATTATCATTCATTATACTAATTATAACACTTAACATCTTTTCAAAACGTTTCCCTTTACAAAAGGCTTTCATGTTTATTATTTTGATCATAAGAGCAACCTTATGACATAGGCAGGAGAGAGAGTGCCCACCCATTTTACAGATTGGTACATGGGATTCAGAAATGTTTCAAGCCAGGTTGTGATGTGAATGGGTCTGGAATCCAGGCCTTTCAATAACACTGTACACAAACCTGGATACCTTGCATGTTAAAATGAAACAAGACTGTTTGGGTATGTCTGAAATTACCTTTGAAAATGCCCAGCTAAGACATACGAGCTTCATGTAAAGTGTTTCATTCCAACCTAACGGGAGAAATATACCTGATACAGCAGGGAGGCTCCAGAGGTCACTGAAAAGCAGCGCTCTGTACATTGGTGTTGACCACCATTTCCAGTCAAAGAGGCAACCCTGGAAGACAGGGCTCCTGTCCTAAACGTAACAATGTTTATACCCCAGGAGATGCCTCTGGAAGGAGGAGGCAGGCCAAAGCTGGGTCTGATGCCCACCCACAAGGAGAGGAATCTCAGCAGAGTCTTGCCTGGAGAGCACTTTCTTATTGACAGCATCCAAAACCACACTGTGCTATTTACAAAGGTGACACTCTGGGCCGACACTGAAGACACACAGAAGCCCCACTGTCAGAAGGCCCCTGGAGAAGCAGCCTTACCACAGGCCTTAAGGAGTCTCACCGATGGCTGCCAAGCTAAAGGGCAAGGAGGCCAGCACCCAAACATTTATCCAACATTTACCCAAATGGTCTTGCAATTGAGCAGGGCAACAGGGGCAGGTGCCAGTCACTGCCCGGCTTTGAAGGCCCGGAACGCTTCACGCGTACAGCCTAGCTTCACAAGGGCAGAGCCACTGAAACAACTTTCATGACATCCTATACTTTCCTGCAAAAGCCAAGCCAGTTCCACTTAGGTGTTGACCAGATGTCTGAGTATTGGCAAGTTCGCTCTGCTCCCAAAGCTGCAAGAGCACCCCCTGGTGGCTGGAAAACAAGCCCTGCCCCTTCTTGCTAGGAGTCAAAGCTCTGGATCATGCCCACAATCACGCAGGGCTCAGTTAGCTATGGCAACCCAAGAAAGAGGCCTCAAGAGAAGCTATCTTCCACATACCTGCTCCAGCAGCTGCTGGACACTGGAGGCCACGCCCGGGCAAAGAGAGGGAGCTCTCCAGAGGTCACTGCCACATCACATCCCCAGTCCCTAACACACACAGAAAATCCACATGGGCAGCATGAGAAGCCATGCAGATAGCAATCCAGTGTCATCCATCTCCTGCTCTGAATGCCACACGCAACAACCTAGAATTAGAAGTGCATTCTCTTTCTGGATATCTGGAGTGGGGAGAGGCAAAGCAGAAAAACGCATTCTAACAAGAGGTCTGAAGAATCTTAAGATTTGGCCATTCTATAATGGACTGTTTGTTTTTGAAGCCTTAAAAAGAGAAAGTACTCTGGAAGGCCTAGCCTTCCTGGGTCAAGACTCTTCTTCATTGGCACTAAACAACAAAATCACCAACTGAGGTCTGACCCCGAGGCTTGCAGGCATTTCAAATTTGGATGATTAGCCCAGCAGGCTCTTTCATTTGAGAAAGTCACAGGGCTTTCCCTGAGTTAGTTAGAAGTGTTTTTTTTTTTTTTTTGGCTGGGTAAATACCTAATTCTACAAAGACAACCACAAGCTCAGTTGTTAAGCGAATCGCTAGCTCTTATCTGAACATAAAAGTTCAAAAGATCCCACTTACCCCTCCATGGGTGCACACATTATTTCCTGCGCCTTCACCACAACTCAGCTGCCTCCCCAGCCACAGAAATTCTACTTTGTTGATTAGTGGTGGAATGACCCCTTCCAAAACTGGTACTTAGTGGGCCTGGTGACTCAGAGGCATCAAAAGCTGGTACATTCATATTCTTTCTCTTTCTTTCCCTCTCTCTCTCTCCCTCCCTCCCCAGTAGCCCAGGATAATAAGTAACCAAGTTAATAAAAACTGCTTGCCACTGTCTAGTTAACAGTGGAACACTACAGGTATTCAGCTGTGCCTGCATCACTCCCCTCACCCCAACAACAACAAAACACAAGATCAAAGGGTTCCTAGCCAGCAGTCCTAGCTCTCAACAGACCATCATCTTCGGCAGCCTATCCATCCACCCACCTAGCTTAACTAAAAACATCTGTAAAGTCTAACTCATCCTCCAAGCCCTATCCCCACTCTCCCCAGCCAAAGTCTTACCTGTATCCATTTTCAGCGGCTTCCGTGGATCTCACACTGGCTGTGGCCCGCAGAGTTTTGCTCGTTAAGCCAACCACAGTAGGTGAAAGTTTGCACTTGAAATCTACACAAGTCCACTCCTCTTCTTCATTCAAGGTGGGGAGGTAGCCACACAAGACCTTTAGGCTTCCCAGTCCCCCATTACTCATGTAAGCTGTGTTTTCTCCCCCACTCCTCACATACTCGAGGTATATGTCAGAAGTCAAAAACATCTGGTAGGCATTTTCCTCCATCACTGCCTGGATCTCAGTCTGTGCCTGGTCAAACATGATGGAGTCGATCTGCTGCTTCTTGATGCCATCTCGTATGTAGGTCTTGGTGGCAGGTTTCAGCTGCTTGGAGACGATGCTGTTGTTCTCAATGTACCTCTTATAGATGGCTTTGGCTACTCGCAAAGTTTTGGTATCCTTGAGGTTCATCTGCCTAAATCCATTACAGGCAAACCAGAAGTCCAAAGTATCCACACATTTCTCCCTCTCCAGGAAAGTCCGAAAGAGGTATGCACCGTCCTGGTCGCCCAACAAGGAGTGCAAGGACTTGGTCCACCTGGTCAGAGGGGAATCAGGGGACGCCCTCCCCTCAGGCTCTCCCAGCCCATCTTCATTCCGCCTGGCATTGGAGGAGACAGGCATGGGTTTGGCGGCCTGGCCCTTGCCCACACTGGGTTGGCAAGGTGGGGTCTCCCCTTCTTCTCCCGGAACCGGGGGCCGCGGAGCATCCTCGCGGAAGCTGCTACTGGGATCTGGGAGGCGCGTCACCAGCACAGCGCTACTCATGGTGAGGGAGCGCTTCTCACCGAGTTTGCCCCCCCCCTCCTTCTTCCAGTTCCTCACAGCAATCGGCTTGGTCTCTCTTAAGTCAGCAGGGGCTCATCTGAGCCTCCTCTCTGGAAAGAAAAGGAAGGGGGGAGGTGGGAGAGAGAAAAGGGTATTGATCTAATCAAAACCAGATCTGCCCAACATCAAAGCAAGAAAGTAAACAGGCTTTTCAACTCCTCAAATTCAAATCAAGCAACCCAGCTATCCGCGAGGCGCTCATCTCAAGTATCCGACGCTGTTTCTTCAAAGGCGAAATGTGAGCTCCCTGAACACTTTTTTTTTTTTGGGGGGGGGTGAGGTGGAAGCAAGGGCGGGGGCAGAGGGACGCGGGAGGTGAGACACAACCTGCCCCAAACCCACTCGGGGAAGTCCAGCCCCCCTCCCGCTACAACCTTAACTCCAAAGACGCTCACGCCAGCCGCCAGGCTGGGTGCAGGTGAAACCAATTTCAGTGAATTTCCCCACTCCACTCTGCACAGATAACTCTAGCTCAAGGAGTGCCCTTCCCCGGCATCTGGTTCCCATTCCCCCCACCCGCCCCCTCCCTCTGCATTCCCCCATCCCAAATGGTCTCAAAAATTTAGAGACCATCCTCCCCCGAAAGCAACCCGCCCAGCAGAGGCGGGAATGGGCTCTGGACTCCCGGCTTCGGCATACATCCCCACGTCCCAGATGCAAATGTTCCTTATACCCTGGACCAAGAATCTGGCTGAGTCTACTCCGTCTTCTCCGCTCCCCCAGACCAGAAACCAGTCCACTAAGTAAGAGACTTTGATCTTCAAACTTTGAGACCGAGAGCTCGAGCGCAGAGAAGCCTGGAGACCCGCCGCCTCTAGCCCCCCACCC